CTATTGCTTGGAGGGAGAGTCAGGGGTGGAAAAATGGCCGCGGACCACGTGTCAGGGGCGGAAAAATGGCCGTGGACCACGTGTCGGGCGGGAAAATGGCCACGGATCCGGGTCGTAACTCGAGGTGGTTCGCAACACGAGGTAAATTTTTGGGGCCGGAGCTGGTCGTAACACGAAAAATTTGTAAGCAGAGGCATTCGTAACTCGAGGTACCACTGTATATTCACAAGGATCTTCGGGGATCTAGTGCAAGCCCTCCTTCCCTATTGCTGGAATAGTCAATCTGTAATCCTTACAACAATTACTTGTGGAATGGCTTTATACTCTGGCTGGGGAATTCTGGGAGTTGAAGTTCACACAGCTTAAAGTTGTCAAGGTTGAGAAATACTGCTCTATCTTAAACCGACACAGGTTTTTGAGGTAGACCCAATAGGCTTGCTGAACATTGGCTGGTGATCTTATGTCAGTCTTCTCCACTCCAACAACCTGCAGCTGTGCCAGATTTTAATTACTTCAACCTCTATGCAATACTGAGAATTACAGGACTTATAGCCTGACACAGATGGAAGGCACCAGACTGAGGAAGTGTGACTTATCATGAAATTAAGAATTGCTGCCAGTGCAATTGAAGAAAGCAAGTAAAACAGGTTTGAAGAAAGCAGGTAAAAGAGTTTTTCAGAGATTGCATAATTCTGTTACTGAAAACTAAACACACCTCTGTTGTGTTGTTATTGTTGTTAATTCTTTTTTTTTTACCCATCCAATAACAGAATTTCTTTGGGTCATGTGTTAATAACAAAATTATTTTTTTATCAGTGACATGTTTTAATGCAAATCACTTTAATTCTTATTTTATTATTTGAAATATTCATGATGAATTGTTTGGTGACCCTGTACTGAATCCATAGGCAAAATAAGTAATTTATATCTATAGAACAGTTTGCCAGTTGGCCTAGAATGAAGATTACACTTAGCTTTAAAAGGCATGTAATGGAATAAGTGATGCTATATAAAAGTTTTGTGGCACATTAGAGTCATGAATAGGACTCAAGAGTCATTTGTTATATGCACAAAAATAGTATGCTGTATACACTCATTTTAACTGAATGATCTTTGCAAGTGTTTGTATTCTTCCAAGGCAGATCACAAGTTACAGAAAAATGTATTAATTAAATCACAATAAGTGACTGGAATGTTAGAAAAAGCTCCCTAACCTGAAGAACATTTCAACAGTGGAATCAATTACCCAAAAATGGGGGTGGGGTCCCATTTACAAGATGTGTTCAAGAGAAAGCTCAGTATCAATCTCTCTGTTGGATTTCTGCACTGAGCAGGAGGTTGGATTTAATACTGTTTAAGGGCCCCTTTCCATTTCTAGAATTCTGTGATTCAATTATTAAATATGGAGCATGGAGCAACTGAGAGTCCATGTGGAAGAGGCCTGCTATCTTCCTTGCCCAGCCTCTTTCTTCTCCAGTTTTGTTGATCATCACCTTTCCCCAAGCTTGCGTTCTTCAGATACATGGATTGCACACATCCTCTAGTTCAATCCATCTAGAGGACACCAGGTTGGAGAGGGCGGCATTATTACTTCATTAATCTTTTTTTTATCTGTTTTTTTTTCTTTCTGTAGTTGAAATTTGGATTTTAAGTAGCTTTAAGGCTGAATCTGTGTTATGTTTCAGTTTATGTCATTCTTTATGGGGAAAGCCATTTATGTGCCTCATAAAGCATAATACTGAAAATAGCTAAGATTTTACAGGTAATCCTCGCTTAACAACAATAGGGACTGGCAAATTGGTTGTTAAGCAGGGCGGTTGTTAAGTAAGTCACCATGTGACTAGACCCAATTTTATGACCATTTTTAGAATGGTTGTAAAGAGAATTATGCAGTCGTTAAGTGAATCCAGCTTCCCCAATGAACTTTTTTGCCACGTGATTTGCTTAATGACATGATTCGCTTTACAACCATCATAAAAGCTTGCAAACTGTGATCATGTGACTGCAGGATGCTGCAACCGATTGTAAATGCAAGCTGGTTGCCAAGTGCCCTATTGCAATCACGTGACAATGCGACGGTTTGTGATGGTTGTAAATGCAAGTACAGGTCATTAAGCATTTTTTCCAAGGCCACTGTAACTTCAAATGGTTGTTAAATAGTCGTTAAGCGAGGACTACCTGTATAATGAAAAAGGATGTAGCATCTACTTCTGGCAGCATCAGTTTTTAAAGGGCAGCAAATAGTTTGCTACTTCATTTGCTTTCAATGTATTTTTATTGCTTTCTTGCTTCCTGTACCAAAGCAACCTGGTGGTTCGAGGTATACTGCAATTGTTGCTCCATCTCAGCAATGTATCTTGGGTTAGCCCTAAATAAATGCAAAGAAAGCAGATGATCCATATAAAGAATATGTTCTGTTGATGAAAGATTTCTGCAGGTGACCATAACTAATTCTGGTGAATACTGCTTACTTTGTCCCACCTCTGCTGCAGACAACATAAGGTGAATGTCTGTATATTCTCAATTATCTGTGCAAAACATTCATGTTTTCCCTTGGTAAATCCATACATAACTGACAAAACCAAGGTGTCTCTCAGGGCAAAATTTCCCAGTAAGGAAGAGAAAGTGTAAGCTACTTACAGCAAAATAAGTGAGCAGTAGCAACCGTAGAGTAACAGTTCTTGTTTTTAATGTATTGTTTATTTTTCTTGTGACAGGAAAGAAGGAAATATTGACAGCAGGGTCTCTCAAGGGAGGAATACAACCATAATCCAACTCTAATTACATCTGAGAAACAATGGCTCTATAATTTTCCAAGTTTAAAATGCTACCTAATTATGGGGAAAGTACATAGGATGCGAAATACTTCCTTTCCCAAACTACACACCAGGATATCTACAAACTGCAGACTTAAAAAAAAAAAAATGCAGCGTGACATTTACTGTACCTTGACACTTATAAAGGATTGTGCATTAGTCCTTTAAAGCAAAGTGGCTAAACCATAGTAGGCAACATAATACCTTCTTGTTTTAGACTACAATGTGTACCATTCCTTGCCATCAATTATGCTAGTTGGAGCTGATTGAAGCTGAAGTCTAAAACATCTGGAGAGCTTCATGGTTTATATCAGAAGCCATTACGATTAAACACTGGATTTTCAATCCATCTTAATGGATTGAATTGCATTGTTTCCCACATCACATCTATACATTCTAAGAGAATATTTACTTTCAAATGTTGCTTCCTTGTGTTCATTTCTCAATTTAATTAGTTTGAAAAGACTATAAATGTAGGCATGACATGCTTCTATTTAGAGTTCATTGAGCTGGCTTATTTTGAAAAAGGGAAAATGTGTAAAAACAAATTATAAACATCAGAATTAAATTAAAATCAGTTCAAAATTTAAGCATCAGAAGTGTTTCAAGTAAGTTTTATTAATCCTGTTTTAAAATTTAAAACAGTCACAGGTTTTGTCATATAACTTGCAAAAAGAAAAGGAAGAAGGGGAATTCAAGAAAATTAAAAAAATTGACATTAGAACAAAAACATTACTTGGGCACATTCCAATCAAAGGTTAAGTACTTTCATAAACCACTAATTTCAGTTAAACCACAGTATTATTCTATGGTTTGAATGTTTTTCATCAAACCAGATAAATGGGATTGCTTGAAACATCAGCAATTAAGGAAGACCACATAAAGCTGCACTCCACCCTATCTCAGAAGAAAATCTTTCACTCCATGAAGAAGCAGGGTTAACAATTTTAAAATATTTTTAAGAGAAAGTAAAATTTACACTTTTAAAATGAAAACACAATTAAGCAGTCATTTCAAGCTTCCTGTAAGCATCTAAAAAATATCTAGTCCTAAAGATGACCTTTTGTCAAGTTGTCCTTCACACCATCTGTGTTTTACGGTTTGCCTCACCTGTTTGATTGGATCACAGCCCATGGATATCGGAATTCTGTGGTTTCTTTGCGCTGCTGATGTGAGAGGATATTTGGAGACAGATAGAACTCCATGATAAGCATATTTCTTTCTATTCCCTACCCCATCCTTCCCTAACCTATACTAGTAGGAAAAACTCACTTCCAACTATGGTTTGCCTAGTGTTTTAACCAAACCAGGGTCTGACAGATTCTTCTCCTTGCAAGCCAAAACTTTTCAGATTCTGGTTTGTTATGAGACAATTCAGCTAGGTACCCTGGTTTGGATAAAATCCTAAACACACCACAAATTTAGGTTTCTTGCCATATGTAAACAAAACATGTAATATAAGATCTGAATGCACGGTGTATCTGTGGCTCAGCATGTTGTATACCTGTTGGTTGACTTAAATATTCAACAACCACAAATGGTGACTGCCCCCTAATGAATGGTTGCCTTTTAACCATCACTGGAAGAAATATTGCAATTTGGTTCAAACATTATTTTAAGCCATAGTTTGCTAAATGTGGATTGAATAAGCCATACATGGTTGAATTCATATATTATATTAAGCAAGCCTTCCCACTGAATGTGTGGGATATTAATAATATGAATAATAAAATTATAACATTATTACTATTGGGAATTGCCACTCCAACACATCTGGAAATCATCAGGTCAGAAAAGGCTACCATAAATCATAGTTTACAAGCCATAGTTGGCTGGATTTGCATAATAGCCTAAACTATATATACCACTCCATTTTTTTTATCATGTGGTTTCCAATTCTATTAATTCTCACTCCTGGTTGCCATGATGCATTTAATAGATTGGGAGGCCTTGTTTCTAACTGAGACTGCCCTGGAAGTCAATTCCCGCAAAGTTACAATTCGTGGTTTTCTCGAAGAGAACCTGGACCCACCCAGAAGACGGGAACAAGTCTTGGCGAATCTTCCCGGCAATTCTATTATTTAAAGAATTTGCTGTTTCACAAACCTATGTGCGATGTTTACTTTGCTTTCTCCTTGAGCAGCTCCAGCGGGAAAGGAGAAGGGCGGCAGATACAGAAGGTAAAGGACAAAGGCGATGACCCGCCGGAGCAAGAAAAAAGCCCCGAGATCCGCCACTTCGATTGCGTTCGTGCATCACGCTCATTTTCTGGACTTACCAATAAAACGATAAACTAACCCAACGGGCTGGAGCGCCACAGAATGCCAAAAACTAACCAAGGTGAAAACTAACGAAGATTAGCACAGGTGGTGCGAATACGAGCGCTAGGTCTTTAACAGAGTTGGGTTAGCCAAGGCGGCGGCGAAAAGAGGAGGTTAGGAAAGGACTTACGGTGTCTGTTCGTTTGCCAGCCCTGACTTCAATCTCCCTCCACCGGCGGGCTGATGCACGGACTCTGCTTTGGGGGGAGGTTGCACTCAGGGCTATATAGCAGGAAGAAGGCGGGAGGCGAGGGCTCGCCTGCTCCCCAGCCCACGCATCCTGGGGGAATAAGCGGCTGGAAACCCCGCCTTGCCCGGGATGAGCCAAGAGGCCTGGGAAAGTTTCCCGCAAAGTGGAATTTCCAACAACAGCCTCGAACTGAGGCAGCGGTCCCCCGAATGAGGAGATGATCTTTCTAGGGAGGCTGGGGAAAATTTAGTATCCTAGCAAAGAAAAAAGATTCCTTCGCCCTTCCGCACAGCCGTCCCCGTTTTTGACGGAGAGCAGAAAAGCGCGCGGGCGAGGAGGCAGACGCTGCTCCCGGCGCCTCTCTTTGGCTCCGGCGCTTCAACAGTCCTCGCCACCAACAGTGTCCATGGGGAGGGCAGGCAAGGCGTTGGAAAGGACCGCCGGGGCCCGTTGCCAAGTCATGTGTCCGCCCTTTCCTGAAGAAGAAAAGCCGAGCCCCGTTGCGTCCACGCTCCTCAGACTCAGCCTGTTTGAAGCGTGTAGCTACAGGAAACAATAGCTGCTTTCCTACTGACTCTTGCTTACTCACCTCTCCTAGAGCAGGAGTAGCAGGCTTGTACCTCCAGCTGATTTGGGTGGCAAGTCTACTGCTTTTTTTAGCTGCGGTGGCCACATACAAGTTTCTACCCTGAAGGGTTCTCTCTTAGAGATGTACTTGGTCACTGAAAGAAAGTTGTTTTCCTCTGCAGAGAATCAGATCCTTTGGATAAAAGCCACAGCCTCTATTCAATGCCTCAGTCTTTCTTTCTGCAGTAGGGATCCAGCAAGTGGTAGATTCTGTGGTCTTCTGATCACTCATCATTGTAGTGTCTTCGTCTTCCATCTTTGGGCAATATAGCTGGAAGGAGTGTGGCTTAACTCATCATCCAGAAGCAAGAAACCATATATGGCCCCAAATCTCCAGCCGGAGATCCACAGGGTGGGAGGCCTAAATTCTCTGCCACCAGAACTCTGTGCTGCCTTTTAAAAACCACAGGCCTCTTGTTGGCCTTCCCTCCCCTGATGCTCTCTAGATGGGTTACTTTCTGGTGTGCATTATTCCCTGCTACCTTGCCAGTTGGGGATAATGGGAACTATAGCCAAGACTACTGGAAGCCACGAGGTTGAAGAAGGATAAGTTGTATGGTGTTTTTAGAAATGAATGGTTATAGCTCAGATGAGCAAATGAACCTAGATTTATTCACGTTCTAAAAATATGTGCCCTGTTGGGAAACTATCGTTGCAGTGAATGAGACCCAAGTGATTAAATTCCATCTCTACTTCTGATTTTCTTATGTTGTATTCTCCACAACTGTAGGACACTTTGGTATGACTATGTCATTGAAAATGTCTGTTGTTGCTATGGTATGTTTAATCTATTGAAGGATTGGTTTTACATGGTTAAAGCTGAGCCATTGTAAGATTTTCTTTAAGGTGCTTTCCTGGTATAATTCTAACCAAAATTGTCAGTATCATAGTCATACCAGCAGTGTCCTACAGCTATGGAGAGTACAACATAAGAAAATCAGAAGTAGAGAAGATTTGAGTAATATGCATATGATGGAAAAGAAAACACTAAAATTTTCTTGCAGAAATTTGCTGCAGAACCAGTTTCAAAGATGTCGTCAAAGTGGCACAAAAATGAAAATTTGAATTGTCATGTCATATACATGCAAGGAAATATCTGGGTGCAAAAGATGACATATTAATGACCCTACATGCTCACAAGATCAACCACCTACAGCATAAAATACAGAGTTGAAATATGAAAAGAACTTGAGCCCGGCTTGGACCCTACATTCCTATATCTGGTGGACAGAAACTTTAAGGATCTATTGCTTATATACATTTGTGTGCACCATCAAAACACATGAGAGCTAAATTACACATTTGATTAACAGTGTGCAAACAACATGCTTGCTTTTAAATCTTTACTAGGTACCCAAATAAATATAATGACCAACATACTGAAGGACTAGTAATGTAATGCTCAATTGCCACCTGCCCTAAGGTACCTAGTAAAGATGTATGAATATATGACTTTGCAAAGCTGTTAAACTTTCTAATTTGGCAGTGGCAGGCAGCAGCCCCCAAAGACTTAAACACGAATCCTTCCTATTCTGTTAACTGCTAGTAACTGACTTGGGGCCCACAACATATGTACCCTACACTCTTGAACATAAGTGTATGCATTCGTACCATACGCTCTCCTCTTGAACACACAAGGAAAGTTCCAAAAGGATAATCTGTGTGCTACATCATCTAGGTCTTTATATCTAAGGAACCCTTGGCCTTAAATACTCTCTCGCATGGTTGATAGAACTATGTTTATTTATTAGATTATTAAGCCACCATTCCTATTCAGAAAGAACACTTGAGGCATCCCACAAGCATCTCTAATTGGATCAACTTAAATAGCTATGCAAGTGTTTGAATTTCATGGGAATTCCCATCACCATCCCCTAATTCATACAACAGGGTATTAAGTAAGGTGGAAGGCATCTTTCTTCCTGGGTTGACTATTTCAGCGATGTCAGAACTGACAGTCCCAACCATCTGTTTGGTATGTATTTATGTGGGTGTGAGTGAAGATCCTTACCTTAAATAAAATAATATGCACCATCCTTTTCTGCCAAAAGGAACTGACAGCCTCTTTTTGTGAATTTTCAATCCCTTCCTGTGGAGAAAGGGTTAATTATTGGAATTTAATAAATCAATAGAAGTTGCATAATCTAGTTCAGTTGTCTCCAGCCATAGACTCCTCAAGATAGTTTGGATGACTGGATCCATGACCCATGTGTCCTCAACAGCTATAGATGATAGGAACTGTGGTCCAGCACAATTGGAGGACAGCAGGCTAGGAGAGGCTGTTTTGGTCCTTATATAACTGATGTCAGAAAAGAAACTATTGCCATAACTATTGCAGATAAATGTTTGTGTCTGTCTATTGTCTTGCACAACAGTGTTACTATTTCAGTCCTACAGAAAAGGCCAAACCATGCATAATGATCACATCCGTTTCTAATGGGTGGATCATCTAGAGTTCCCCAGCATATGGAGCCAGATCCTGCTTTAAAGACTATGATGAGATATTTGAGAAATGAAATTGTGTCAACAAAGAGTGCTTTGAGCATGCCACCCAGAGAGCACTGTCCCTAGGCAGCTCCCCTTAGGAACTTGGATTTGACATAGCACACTGAAGACAGCTTTAAGCCATGACTTCTGGTCAGGCTTCTCAAACTTTCTCTAAAAGAATGACTAATTCTTTGACAGTTGCAAATGTTGATCTAACAATGGGTTGGTCAAAAAACTGGAAAGAGGGAAGGGTGCACATGCTCTTATGTTTGTGTGGCAGGATACTCAGATGCAACTGAGTGCCTCCTGTGAGAAACAGGATGCTGGACCGCTAAATGAAATGAGGAAGAAGGCTTAAATTGTTATTTAAAATTACACAACTGCATTTCTATTACTTCTTCTTTTAGTAGGTAAAATCTCCAATGAAAATAATCATAAGTTTCATTTTCTTCTTTTAAAACGTTCAGTTCCATATTTGCAGAGGCAGAATTCTAACCATCAATTTATAGTTTATTGTAGGGTGTAGTTTTGCAGTTTTTGTTACTGAGATGTTTGTTTCTTATCACATCTTTCTTGCTTATAGGAAGGGCTTCCAAGTCAATTAAAAAATCTGGATGAATTTCCTTCATTTCCTTCATTTATGATGTTTGATCATCCAGTGGAATGAGTTGTGTATTTTTTAAAAAAACTAGTTAGATTGAACTTTCTAAAGGATTGCTCTTTGCCACCTGGGAAATTCTATGAGGTAAAATTGAGCATAGATTTTTTTCTACATCTGTTTCCTCCTAGAAAATATGAAGAACTGATAATACTATTTGATGAAGAAATAAAAAATGCATTGTTCACAAGGCTGAAACACAAACGTAGCTGCTTCCAAATGCTTTTCATCAATGTCTCATTAGGAAGTACATGTTCATAATCAGATTTCTGTATTTATTCTGTCTGGGTTCAAAATATTCAGTTCAATCCAACAACAGAGTTACAGTGACCACTTTTACTACAAAGGGAATTAAACACAATTGTTAATCTTTATGTGGGTGTTCAATGGGTTATATTTTATTCATACAATACGAATATATTTTATATATTTATTCTGTAACTTAAGAAGTTCAAGGTTGTACAAATGTTGAACAGAAATACAAATATAATGTAAATGCCCAAAGGATGATTCACCTTTTAAAAAATTGATATTTGCTTCAAGTATTGAAATTGTTAATTTGCTTTTTTAAATGATAACCATAATTTTTCTTTGCAAGTTTATGCCTTTTACATCCAGTTTAGATTTTTAAAGTTCATTCCTTTGATTATCTTTTGATGGCAGTTTCTATAATTGCTTTAAAATAAAGTTTTGGCATACATTATCCATAACACAACTTTCATGTAGTTCACAAATACTCATGACTCAGCCGTGTGAAATTACACCACCATTATGAATTCCTTATTCATTGCATACTGTACTCTTTGTGGAGGGTGTGACACCAACTGCAAAGAGGGAAGGACCATTGCTCAGGGACAAAGGACATGCTTGATGTGCAGCTTCTCCTTGGCATCTCTAGTTAGGACTACAAAAGACTCCTCTCTGAAATTCTCATGAACTGCTGCCTGTAAATTTAAATAGTAGAATGCAAGATGACTCAACCATCTCACTTTCCTTTGCCTGACTCCCAAGGAACGATGGTGCTGTTTTTCAAACTTCCTGCAATTGTGAACCCAAAGAATTGGGTATTCAGATAATGTGAGGATCACCCACTGAAACACCCCCACCCCATTTTTGGCATTAAAAGCATGGGAGTTCACTTCTTTGGCAAATCAGATGATGAGGATGATGATTGCATTTGTAAATGCCTTCAAATTCTTTTCATTTTTAAAATTAATTTTGTACACCCATTCACAAAATCAATCCAAAATTAAGCATTTATTTGTCACTTGAACTCTGTTATGTATCATTGTAACAACAAACCTTAGCTCAAGTTTGTTAGTGAAGTATATTCTTCAACGGAAATCTCTGGCTACTAAGGAGTTAGGAATGAGTTGA